AAATATTAAACGAAACAACTGCTCACTGAGCTGTTTTTAAGGAATAAAAACAAGTGCTTGTAAGTTTTCAAAGCATGCTGCAACTGTGTTTGAATTCGAGAGCACTGTCCATGGCACCATATGGACGGATGATCAAAAGATTAAATCACTTGGGTGGCAATTGTGGCTCGGAACAAGACCGACATACCGAGAACTCATTCGGTAATCGCCATCACTAAGAACCTTGTGGACAGCAAAAGGGTAGCAAGAACGATTTATAAGATAAACACTTAAGTAAATAGATTCTGCAACAGAAAAAAGACGAAAACAGTGTTTTCTTATTTGATTGGCTGACTGCTCCAGGCTGGAATTATCAAAATTGTCGAAGCAATGAGCTTTTATGTCCGGGTGAGCACTATCCCGATAAAATAATAGAACTATAATTTAATCTTGGTTCTATTGCACAAAGAAAACTATTTTTGATTCTAGGTAAATGACACAGCAATAGGATGAACAAAAAATTATTGGTTTTGCTTTCAAAAGCGGGAAATTTAGCACGAATATAAAGATATTGATTCACTTCTTCGTTTGGCATTGATCCAAGCTTTTGGTCTCCTTATCTTCATACTCTTGGAAAATTGTTGATTGTTTACAAACTTCCTTTGTTCTCAATAATTTTGACGATTGCTCAAAATTTATGTTGATGACTTTTTTCATGGATTCTTTTAAATACAGCCATATCATTGATCAGGATATAAGCAGGAACTATACAATTGACAATCAACTTCACCCTACACTAGAGTAAATTACTGTTTGATTTACAAGACGCGTAGGTATACCAATAAGTTGTGCTACTTTTTTACTGTCAAAGTTCAACAACTTCAAAGTAAGATCAATTCTCACAAGATATGATGTAAGTAACAGCATCAAAATAGTTTGTGCACGCTTTGACCTCCCTACTATAAGACTCAGCCCAACCAAGTAAGAACTATTCTTTTGTTCGAATATTTTGTTTCCAAATAAGCCTAGGTATCGAAAAAGCGGAAACATGTCATACTAAAATACTTCTCATGCGATACTCGTCAGAGTATAAACAAGGAATAAAGTCCAAAGGTAAGCAGAAAATTCAAAGTCAGATGTGGATCGAAAGTAACGTGAGAAGTTGAGCAGATTGTTCTGACAGGAAGACATCATTGTTTATGTGTTTTTATTTTACATTTGTAAAAACTTCATAAAAACTCTTCTAATAGATCTAAGAAATGACAACGTCGGGAATGGCATTGCACTTAACTCTTAACAAGTCCAATGTCAATTGGTAAAAAAGTACTCACTTCATTAATATTTTATAAAGAATTTGATGTTTTTTCTCTAAAGCCTGTTTTCAACATTTCACATTCCTTATTACATTATTCAAAGTCTCCAATCACATTTCTGGTCTTCACAAATCACTTCCAAAATACAATAACTATTCAAACAGTCAGTCACTGCTGGTTGCTGCTAATTAATTTGCGAACTTTGAATGTGTGCTTCATTCTCAAGTCGTAATACATGATAAATAAAGCCGAATTTCGAGTAACGATAGTTTGTTGAATACTATATGAATGACGACCCACCACCAATATCACCTTCTCTGCATATCAGGATAAGTGTGTTGCCTCGAACAGACCGCCCACCGTTTGCGAAAAGCGATAAAGCGGTATTTCATTTAACAGGAGGTACGTCACGCACTTTCCACCAAGAAACGTCGAAAATTCAACTGAATAGCAACATTGTGTAGCCTTTGTCGACTCTACAAACGACACCCCCATTTTCTCGACAGTTTGAACTCGTTACCAAAAATCATATTTATCGCAATTCGAACCACTCGAACATCTTAAATAGGTGTACATCGGTATCGTATCGTAGAAATATACTAAAAGAATTAATTTTCAGAGACACATAAGTATCAAATAAATAAATAAGGACATAAACAAGGCCTCCCTGATAATGTCGTATTTAATTTTCATTTTAATGCCAGTGCATTATCACTACGGGGAAGTTATACGGTTTGTTAAAAGAAGACGCAAAGAGGTAGAACCGCCGAACACAACCAAGCGGAATTCTTAGTATTATGACATTATGTATCGTAGAAGTAATATATTTTCGGGTCGATATATTTTTAGGATATCATGTTTTGTAAATATAATCACAATATATTTATACGATAAGTTTATGATATAATGGATCGTAAATATGATTAATAAAGCTTTTTATCATATCATTTATCGTAAATATAGTGACGATATATCATAATGATTTCATGTTTCCTAAAAAATTAATTTATAATCATATGATACGTTCATAATAATATGTATCATAATATAATTTATTTAATATTTTCTTGATACCATTAATCCCAAGTGCTATGAATGTATTTTCTATGACACTATCTTCCTTGAACATAATGACTATAATATATTTCTATGATACGCTCATGATGCTATGCATCGTAAATATAATTCAAGTAATATTTTCTTGATACCATTTATCCTAAGTACTAATATATCCATATAATACGCTAATGACATTATGTATCTCAGATGAAATGACGATTTATTCGTATGATCTTCTCGACTAGGAAATAAACATCTGAACTGATGATTGTGAGGCAATAGTGTACAAATATTCTCGTTGATAGTATCAATAGTGTACAGATATTCTCGTTGATAGTATCAATAGTGTACAGATATTCTCGTTGATAGTATTAATAGCGTACAGATATTCTCGTTGATGATATTAATAGTGTACAGATATTCTCGTTGATGGTATCAATAGTGTACAGATATTCTCGTTGATGGTATTAATAGCGTACAGATATTCTCGTTGATGATATTAATAGTGTACAGATATTCTCGTTGATGGTATCAATAGTGTACAGATATTCTCGTTGATGGTATCAATAGTGTACAGATATTCTCGTTGATGGTATTAATAGTGTACAAATATTCTCGTTGATGGTATCAATAGTGTACAGATATTCTCGTTGATGATATTAATAGTGTACAGATATTCTCGTTGATGGTATTAATAGCGTACAGATATTCTCGTTGATGGTATCAATAGTGTACAGATATTCTCGTTGATGGTATTAATAGCGTACAGATATTCTCGTTGATGGTATCAATAGTGTACAGATATTCTCGTTGATGGTATTAATAGCGTACAGATATTCTCGTTGATGGTATTAATAGTGTACAGATATTCTCGTTGATGGTATTAATAGTGTACAAATATTCTCGTTGATGGTATCAATATCGGCAAACGGCTCTCCGAAAACTCAAAATATATTATTTTGACAGAAGACCGTCTTCTTCAATACAGAATTAAAAAATGTATCGCCTTGACACTGGGAAGGTTGAATCCAGATAAACACAATATGGTATTGAATCAATGTGAATAGTCACGCTGGGGACAGTGACCACATAATATCAACACCGAAAAGAGATATTATTGAATTGATATTTGGCTGTAATTAAACTGAATATGACTTATGTATTGCAAGCCAAAACAAAGCGGCATCATTCGACGGTTTACCACAATCAAAATTACCTGCATTTATGCTGATTTTGCAATGCAAATATCAATATGTGTGCAGTTGTCTCATGTTTTTTGTAGCGATATGCAAGCACGAATTTGGTTGGTCGTCAATGGAGTTTGAAGCAAAACTGTTGCACGAGAAAACATGTATTATATACAAAGCCTCCATGTTGCGAAAAATTTATCTTTTGGATTGAAAAACAATTTCTAAACTGTTTATAGGCAGAGTGCTAGAGTCTCTATTATTGAGTCTAAGAACTACAGTTCGAAACTAGTCAGAGAAACACTTTTTGAGATCGCAGACGTTTTTAATACTTTATCCCCAGATTCATGAGTCTCTAGTACCCAGGATAAACTTTTTACAACAAATCAAATATTCAACAAGAAAGAAATCTTTATATCTGTTTCGATTTGATTTCGATATATGTTTCTGGATGAAGGAGGATCTTCATAAGAAACAAGGAGATTCCTTTTTGAGTAGAAGGCTTTAAAGGGGCGAGCATTCCCATTTCTTCCATACAGTTGATTTCTTAATTATTCCCTTGGCTTTTAAACATTCCCTCGGATTTCTAACTTGGCTTCAAAGGCATTATAACAGGCGTAAAACACCGAGTATTTAGTGTGAGAGACTATGGGAAAATCTCCTGTGCTGGACAGATAAGGCATTTGCCATGAGAAAAAGCAGCTTGCTTTGTAATGAGAAGTTGCCTGTAAGCTCCTGGTTTCCTAAACTAATCGCACAAAAAAGCATAAATAAACCTGCTCACAGGCAAACGTGTTCCTGAGGATAAATTTGAGCTTTTGGCGCTAAAAAGGAAGCTGCTCAAACTACACTGTAAGAATTCAGACCTTGATGAAACACACGAAAGGCTATGCATTCTGGTTTAATCAAAGGGCTCCCGCCGCACTCGCGATGGCTGGTGTATATATCCAACTATAGAGTTGCTAATGATTGCAGAATCTGCCTTGCTTACAGGTTTTAGTGACTTTTGCAGGCCGAAGAAAAAATTTATTGATACCACTTTTATTTCGTAAGCCAGAAAGTAGCCTACTCCTGTGAAATGTATTAACCTCAAAAACAACATACGTTGAAATTTTGACTCAAACAACACACAGAAGCTTTGCCGCGTTTAGGCTACAGCATTGTAAAAAGTTATCTTTTTGAATTATGTATACAAACGCTATTTTAGAATATTGGAGAAATTGTAAAACAAGTATATAGACGGAGCTCCTGATTAAATAACGCGCTTTCTTTTAAAAGAATAATTCACAAATGAAAATTCAACAAAAAGCATGATTTAAATTCGCTTTAAAGAATTGACTATGTAAGGCAAGCTGTATAGTAGTAAGCACGCAGGCTAAAATATGCAGACAACGAAATGATTAAGATGATACGGGGCAAAAGAATGAAAATGCAGGTAGAAATTTCACAAGGTGGAACCAACCTTTAATGAGATCACATAACCAAAGGTTGAAGCAGAAATCTTACGTCTTACATCTTCATGCATTCACAAAGCCTCGGACAGCCAGCTTTGAGCACCGAAGGCTCTTATATTAATACAAATCAGCGAAAGAATCCCCAAAATCCATTAAATCCCGTATCTTGACAGCAGACGTCAGTGTTTCACGTATTAGCTAGGAAGATAGAATTTGCACACAACAATATGTTTCTTTGGTTTTTCAGAGCAATCTTAAAGACATCAAGCCGATTCTTTACTACTCAATTGATACTGTAAAACCTGACCGAGTTCCCACCTGCTATCGTCTGAGACCATTGAAGACAACTAAATGTCACAGGTGAAACACGAGTTTACTTCTTAAGAAAAGCCTGACTGCGCACGCGGACACCATCGCTCGCTCTACCGAGCCTCGTTCACAGCAGGAAGGCTTTGGAATCAGCGGTGTAGTGCCTTTAAAGAAGAGGGAAGGAAGGGAAGGGGGAAGGGGGGAGCGGGTGGAGGGGGGGCTGGGTGTCTCTCTAGAAATTCTTAAGAAACAATGGCAACAACAAGGTACCTCAGCAAACCTTGATCCCTAGTTTTACACTCAAGAATAGAATCAGTACACGTGTTTTGCACTCCAACCGTCGGTTTCAACACAATTTGCATAAAGAACTAGAAGGAGACTTGTTTCTACTGTACAACAATTTAAACCGAATTGCTTGTTATAAACTAAACCATAGCGACATAGCGAATACCAGGGAAGTTTCTTACAAGCAAAAACAGTTTGTGGAGTTTTTCAAGAAAAGTCATTGAAAGTCTTGCTATCCGCCTGAACGAAACAAATTACATGAATCCATTTACCGGTCTGGTACAAAATAAAGTAACTGGTGTCAAACAAGGATGCATTTTTGGACCCGTTATTTTAAGAGAAACAGTTTAACTACCAAATCATTAGTAGACCTTAACCAAGAGCCAATATAACATTTACGTACCAACGCCGTTTACACTATTGAGCTCAGAATGGGCCTCGGTTTTCACAAATGATTGACAGTAACACTTTCCTGTTTTTTTGACCATTTTTAAGTAGAGGTGCAAGCAATGGAGGAGGCAATGGGAGTATATGTGCCTAAATTCCTCCAGGTTTATTGGCTGGCACAACTTTCTTGTTTTATTGGCTAGAGTGGGCTCGCAAAGACTGTCTTGAGTTCAACTATTTTTCGGACCATTATCATCAGAAAATCTTAACTGAACAAGTATAAGAACATCAAAACTATAAGCAAATATAAGTCAATACAAATTTTACTGATCCACAATAGTTTGACGTTACCAACCAAAAATTATCAAACCAAAAATCCGCAAATGACGTGGATAAAGATTACGATGCTAAAAAAGTATTGACATCTTGAAATTAATTAATTATTCTGTACATAGCAATTTTCGCAGTTTGATAAGACAGTTTTACTTTGCATCACTTTGTTGCATTTTGTCAATCTCAATTTAAGCAACACTATTACTACAACTGCAATTTTCATGAAAAAGCAATTCAAAACGTTTAAGAAATAAATTCACGGAATCCTGCGAAGTTTGAAAATGCTTCCGAGGTCTTTGAAGAAACCAGCTTCATAAATGGCTTGTAGTACTAGCGTAGAAAGCAAGCAATCGTAGTACTAGCGCAGAAAGCAAGCAATCGCAGGCACGCAACCAATAAAACAAGAAAGTTGTGCCAGCCAATGAACCTGAAGAATTTAGGCACATATACTCCCATTGCCTCCACCATTGCCTACACCTCTACTCAAAAATTGTAAAAAAACCGGAAAGTGTTACTGCCAATCATTTGTGGAAACCGAGGCCCATTCTGAGCTCAATCGTGTAAACGGCGTTGGTAAATGTTATATTGGCTCTTGGTTAAGGCCTACTATTGATTTGGTAGCTAAACTGTTTCTCTTAAATAACGGGTCCAAAATTATAAAACGTAGACAGAAGCCAATTGAATAGTGTAAAATTTAACAAAGAATCCCAGTAGGGGTCACTTGAAATTGTATATATGGGGGAGGGGGCGGGCATCCGATAATTATGGGTTAAAATTTACCTTGTGATCTGATAACTTTTGGATTCCTGATTTAACATTTTTGATACTTATGGGTCCAACTAACACATATCAATATCAAAAACATGAATAAAAGAACAGATGCGTTTAAACTGATTATTATAGAAAACAGTCTAAATTACTATGACTAGCGGTATCCTATGTGCTAAACAACCAGTTTTTGTATTTTGATATTTTGGGTCTTATCGACACTTTTAAGCTGACAATTTTTGGATCTGTAAAATTTGTTTTCGATACTTATAGGTGAACTTTGATTATTGCAGATGGACCTCCCCGTATAAAAAGTTGGAGTGACTCCCCTGGGCAAAGGATCCAAAAACCTAAAAAGCTAATCCCAAAGTTTTTGCATTTTTAAAGAGTTTTACTTTTGGATTTCTGGCGAAACATCCACCATGGAAGAAAGCAATGTGTGAATTTATAAGCACCTAATGTTCGATATACCCTATTACTAATTGCGTATCAATTAGAAAAACCTAACCAGGTGAGCTTCTAGGCCGCTTATACCAAAACTATGAATGTGAATTGCATGATTTATATTTCTGCGAGCAAGGATCGATAATGTGTTTTACTTTGCAGATACGAAAAACCAGAAAAAAGGTTTATGGTTTCAGAGTAGTACAGCTTGGACGAAAATACTCACGATTTCTCTTTGGTATAGCTTCTTGCTTCTAATTCTTAGACCATTGCCTGAATTATTAATGTGAACCAAAATTTAAATTGTAGCTTAAAACAAACGAAGAGTAAGGTCCATATAACCTTTGACATATCTCTAGGCGTGGTATGGTGTATCTCTTTAGCGACGGGGGTATCTGCTGTTTGTGCAATGTTCTCATAAGAAACAAATCCAAGGCTGCTCAGGGGGCTATTGTGAAGCTAACGTAATTGGATTTATAGCTATGAGTTGCGTTGCAAGCTCTGATGTAGATAAAATCGGAAATTCACGAACTAGTTGCATAGAAGAAGGACCCGGGGCACCCTAGATTTCCAAAACAGAGTACCTTTTTGCAGCTCATGGGAGTACCTCTTTTCCCTCCATTTGCCTGTCCATTTTCATAACCCTTTCTATGTCTATATCCAAGATATCTTGCTATGTCTAATTGTAAGCACAATACATATTAGATACAACTCTACACCCGGCTAGCTGTTAGGCTTGGTATTTAACAAGAACATGAGAATCGGTGATTCATGGTTTTGCGAGCATGAAAGAAATTAAACAGCATGCAACTTTTCAAAAATCCTTTTCTAGCAGACTGAGTGTCATGCAATGATTGTATTTGGAATAGATTCGAACACAAAAATCCTAGAGAGCTATAGAATGGCTTGCATGGCTAAAACGACTTGCTACGTTTAAAGACACTTGCTCAATCTCCTTCTAAGCGAAGCTAATTTGAAAAGAGGGCTGATCGTGTCGGGGAAGGGTGCAGATACCACATCATGTTGATACATACATTAAACTCCTCTGCAAATTAATCCAGCCGATTCCTAAAGGACTCAGTCAGTTTCAGATGTGAAAAGGAGCACGTGCTGTTTTTATAAAAGGATATTTGGAACTCTGTGCTAAACGCATTAGCTGAGCTTGCTATTCAACTTCATGAATTTTAATCTCCCAAACGACTTTCTATATGAAAACCTATTCAAAACCTAGATCCTTTGCCATTATATGCGTACTTTTGCAAGTGTTTTTGAAGCATGCTAGAGATTCATATAAAGCAATCTAAAAAATTATGTACAGACCCTAAAAAATTTAGATGCGTACAATAATCAGCTTTCAAGACACTATAAAAGAATTTCCATGCTGAAGATGAAGCTCCATTTCAAAATAATTACGACAACTGTGTAAAACACGCTGTGGGATAGGCGCACAAAGATCAAAATTTTGAGAAAGGCAAGAATGCAGTGATGAAAAGTGCCCCCAGCTCGACATACCTGTGGAAGAGCATACCTGTCTCGACATACCTTCGGAAGAGCAAAGGTAAAATGTTTGGAGACCACATCCTTTTCCATCATATATAATCCTATCCTTATTCACCTACAAATCAATTTCTCTTCCAATTATGATTTGTTCGCTCGTTTGTTACTCTGCCCCTGAAAATTGTTAGTTTGCCCATGAAAGCATTTTCATGCCAATGACAAGCTCTTTGAACATTATGATACAAAAAATTACACCTGGAGAGGTTTTTTAAGAGAAGCTTTTTTCATGAGGCACTCTCTAAGAACAGTGACATTTTCAACATAAGATGGTCTAGCTTATCAAGCTACTAACACTTACTTTTTAATAAGAAACAAAGGTCGATGTTGAGTACGCCAGCTTCTTAATGTTCTGGAAATTTCAATACTCATTGTTTCTTAAGAGTTTCTTAATTATGATGTCATGAATGATGTTATGAAATGTTTGTGACCTTTTTACCACATCAAGAGATTCGGTTCCGTTCTGATGCTGTATTTAGACGTGGGAAGTATATTTTTATCCCTTCTGTCTCAATTTCTAGGCCATCAGGGCAATCATGTTCTTGGATTTTACAAAATTTCATTGTTCTCAGTTTTATCACGATTTAATAATTTCTTAATTTTTTTGCTTCCAGTACCGGAGTTTCTTAATTTTTTCTGACTGTGCTGTACTCGTTTCCTATAGCAAGTTTCTTATAAAAAACGAGTATATTCTAAACACTCCTCTATTAAATAACTTTAAAATTGAATTTTATGCATTGAAGAATTGTTTTAGATTATGGGAAGAAAATAAATGTCAAAAGAAAATGAAAGGAATTAAAAGTATCGTTTAAGATGTTTGCCTTCGGAAAACACGAGTATAAAACAAGTGCAAAAAGAGAGAAAACATTACAGAATCGACTGGAAGATTGAGAAGAGAACTTGAAAATGTCATCAATAAGTGGGAGGGAAGATATAAAACTCTAGTGACAATACAACATAATATTCTGTAGTTTGTTGTGTAAATATAGTGAAATTGTAAGAATTTTGTTCTTAAACAATCATAAATTTGCTGCAAATGGCTAAATTCTTTGCTTACTCTGTTTTGAAGATCGTAAACGCCAAAAATTTAACCGAAGATGTACCAGACGCAAGTTATCTCGGATATCAACTGATAAGTAGCATAGGCCAACCCTTTCCGCTTGTTTTGGTTGCACAATGACCTACACTCCTGCTGGTGATTTTCTAGAGAGATGGGATTATCTTGTCTGGTCGTGGATACTTTTTCATATTCATGCGACTTATATCTGCTGTCAATTCAAACGTCTAGATATAAAACCATAATGTTCATATTTGAACACGTAACTAAATTAGATACAGAAATTTAAATTTTGCGAACGGCAAACTGATGATTGAAAGGACGGTGTAAAGCTTGCTGTTTCGATGATGGTAGGCTACCAAATAAAGCCAAGTTTTAACCACCAATTCAATGTAAATCTTTGCATTTTAATTGATTATAATATCGTGTAGAATAATGACAAGGTTTTTTTAAAAGATTTGTTATGAACTAAAGGGGAGTTTTAACCACCAATTCAATAAAGCCAAAATTAACCACCAATTCAATGTAAATCTTTGCATTTTAATTGATTATCATATCGTGTAGAATAATGACAAGGTTTTTTTAAAAGATTTGTTATGAACTAAAGGGGAGTTTTAACAACCAATTCAATAAAGCCAAAATTTAACCACCAATTCAATGTAAATATTTGCATTCTAATTGATTATAATAGCGTGTAGAATAATGACAAGGTTAACTTTAAAAGATTTGTTTTAATTTCAAGGGAATTTGGAGGTCTAAGCACCCCATTCAGCCAGGCCGAAGCAGTTTAAGAAACGCTTAAAGCCCCCTTAAAGCCCAATCCATAGCCTCAAAGTCCGGCTGATGATGCATGTAGTCAAAAATGTAAAAGAGGGACCCATAATACGGCGATGAACAGATGTTATCCACCGAAACAGTAATGGATGTCTTAAAATCAGCTTAAATTGCAGAGCTTTAAGAAAAGGAACACAAGAGAAAGTAAGACTGTTGTTATGGTCCCGTTTTAAAAAACGTTAGAAATTTGTCGGCAGTTGCTGAATTTTTATGAGTGTAAAAGCTCAACAAGGCGACCCCTGCATATCGCAGTTATATCTTAATCCTGTTTGTCAAAAATCAAATACAAATTTGCATGTTTTTTATCTCATGCCATGGTGGAGTTACAAAAATTGAAATCTGTTAAAAAGTAATAAATGGCAAAGGCGGTCATCAGGTTTAATGGAGACAGGAAGTTAGAGAGTTTCAAATAATATGTCAAATTCTCCATTCTTCACGACATATGATTCTACAGCAAATATGAATATATGGTTTTTTATTTTAGAATTCATAAAAAGCAATTCGACATGGACACCAACAACTGATTTAAAACTAAATTCAGCGTAAAAATAGAAAAATTCCCTCTAAAAAAACGAAACCTATGAGAACACAAATTGAGCGCCAAGGGGTGTAACCAAACAGAATGTGTAGGGGTGTGTTGCACCCGTGTCTTTTTAGGACTCAGCTAAACAATAGCAAAATAAAGAAAGTTGCTTGATTTTGCAAAAAAAGCCCCAATACTCTCGTGCTCCGGTGTCCCTGGCAGTAGATAAAGTAGGAACAAAATTGTCTCTACCTATGTCTCTGTCGGTAAATTTCACTTTTTGTGATTAAATCCCGTTGTCTGGAAGGCTACGGCACAAAGTGGATCTGTGGTCATGGTACGACACTGAGTACCTAATCAAATTTTCTAATTAAATCATTTGGCGAGAAAGAATATAAAGAACATTCTTTCTCTATTCACTGGTTAATTATTTACTAGTTTAGCCTGAGCATGAGAACACTACCGTATGTAAAAATAGATGTTTTGGGACAAAAAATGGTCATTCATGCACTAAACAATCACACCCCTATCCATGAAAACCTGGCTACGCCGCTGACACAAATCATAAAACATTTGTTCTTTCGTATAAGTCGACAACGGTAGGTGCTTAGCAACAGCTGCAGTTATAGTCTGAGAGAGCCCAACGGTATCATTTTAAAGCAACCAGAATTTAACTCCACTTATTAATTACATAAAACACAACATACCTTTCGATTATGCGGGCAATAGCAAAGGAAACCAAAACAGTACGGTACACGACTGTGCAAACCTGGGAAGATAAAGAAAAACGCTTTTTAACTGACATTGCTGCGAAATGTGGACATGGAAACGAGTTAGTGAATCTACATGCGCTTTTACCATGATGTGACCTTGCACAGCCCAGGGACGACAGGAGAAAAGAAGCAGAGAGCACCCGTCAAATTTGGCTTGGAAACGAAGCTAAGGTTGAAATTTGCGGTATTCAAAACAGACTAAGCCCTGACCAAAACAGGAATATGTATCACACAAAATGCTCAACTCAGTTCAAACGTAGGATAATACTCTTAACTTCGATACGGGTTCTATAATGACATCAGGTCCCAGGGCAATGGCCCACTTGTCTCCGCCCCCCCCCCCATTCTCAGTGATTCTGCATACATCTGATTACTAATGATCATCTTATATAAATGAATGCCTTGAGTATAGCTTCTTGAGCTTAAAATTACGACGACTGTCGCTTGATACCGTTGTATCTTATGACACTTTAGATAATCTTGACAAGATTGACACTATTCAAAGTATTGGCTTATTTGAAGCATTTTGGCTTACGTGATGAGCAAAGCCTTTTCATGCTTTCAACCAGGCAACTGAAAAACCTTATGGAAACAGAAAGCAAGAACTCATTGTGTGCAAGATATAATAGCTTTCAGGGCTCAAGCAACAACAGAGATAATAAGTATGGAATAGCCACATCTGTTAAGCGTATCACGTTTTGAGTTTCCTTTATACGGGCCATCGTTAATTGGATGATATTAAAAAGACTTGCAAGCACCATACAAGTTTCCCTTCAGAAAATGAAAAGCCGATTATGGATGATGCAGTATGATCTTTTTTCCTGAAGAAATCATTGTGGTTTTGATGGTTCTAAAGGCAGGGCGTGAATGAGTATTGGAAAGTACAGACAAAAACAAGTAATGAGTTTAGTAAAAATTTAAAAAGATTACCTGTATTTGCCGTTTTATAAGCTATACAGATCACTAAAGGTAATCTTTAAAACAAATTGAGGTAAAGGTTACACGCTCGTTCCCTACCCGGGCAAGTGAAGCGAAACTTTTGATCTCCAGAGATCTTGAGGAAAGGTAATATTGTATCCAGCATTGAATAGCTTTGAAAAAATTTAAAGTATATTGGCTGTAAAATTCAAACCTATCCAATTTATATTTGACCATCGCCAAAAATCTCAAATAAGCCATGACACGAATCTATATTGATGAGATTTTCAAAGTCACGCTGCGGTTAGCTACGATCTTGGAGAAACAGAGCTACGATTGTTGAGTCTCTCGCCCAGTCAATGTTGATATCAGTGCACGTGCTTAGCTTTATATTGGGAATACGTTGACTTTGGACTTTACATGCATGCTATCTGCACCATGTTGATGCGGACGATATGAGGGGGAAGGGGGCTGTCTCAACAGCTTTGTCCAGGATTGCAGAAATTTAGATTGGCAGTTTGGCAGCACTTATTATTCACAGATTGTGCAAAAGGACCGTTCGTAACGTGCCAAGACTTTTGGAAAGAGGAATATAAAAAACTGCATTGCATTTAGATTTCGGAATCAAAGCCGGTTGGCGAGAGTTTCAGAGGCGATTCAGAAAACAATAGCGAGACAATACACTGACATATACCGGTTAAAGCATACCATTCGAAACATCTTCAAACGGAGGAGTAAATTGTGGAACAGAAATACTTGCAACTGCAGATTGTGAAAAGTTTTCATAAAGGTCTAGAGTGTTTGTGGGTTTTAGCGTATTTTTAGGTAAAAAAATTGCAAATTAGGTTTCTTAATACAATTAGCGTATTAGCTACACATGTATTAAAATGATATAATATGGTTACAGGATGTATCATATTAAGGCAGAATAATATTGCATATTGCATACATACCAGCGAAACCTGATCAATACATAAAACATTTTTACATGTTATATTTACAACCGTGATAGCAGAACCATATTAATGCAAATGATATTGTATGTCTCGAAATACAATAGTCAAATCAGAACAATATCAATTCGTAGTGATATTTCATATTTCATAATTACCATAGTAAAATTGGAACTATATTACTGCATAGAAATATTGCGTATTCATAGAAATATCGTTGATTTCACTTTTGTCAAGGCAAAAAAGGTGCCATATAAATGCATAGAAATATTGTGTATTACATATATACCATGTTAAGATAGTACTATATTAATGCATGTTAATCTTGTATATCCCATAATGCAATTATACAACCCCGATTTCTGTTTATAAGTTTGTTGAGTTTATAAGTTTAAAATTTAGCACAATGGAGATTCATTTTACTAGCTCATCGTAAAAAAAATATCCCTTTATTGGTTTCTAAATACTTCCTTTCATACGTCCGTGCATCCAAACTGAAGGTTTTTTCACAGGTTTCATAGGGAATCATACACAGATTCACATAATATACCATAGCACCTAGTATTATTCCACAAGATGTAGGATAGGATCACGATAAAAAATAATAAAATGTGCAAAATATCTAGCTATCCGGAAAGAATGTCTTAAAAAAGTCCAGCTAAAGAGTCCAGTAAAAAAGTTCAAAAAGGCAGCAGGACAAGGCCGACAAAGCAACACCGGTTCTGCAAACAACATGCATATTACACGGCTTTTGGAATGGCGATCCAGGGGGCACTCCAATTGAGAGCAGTGTGCCAAAGCACCCACACTTTGCTGATACCATTTGTCCTCTAATAAGCCCCCACCTTTGAATAAGCCCCCATGGGTTGAGGTATTCCCCCGACAGCAATAGGTTAATCCCAACATACCTGCATTTTCAAGCAAACTGACCAACATCAAAATGGAAAAAAAAATTTCTTGCTGATTTTAAACAAGCCCCTACCTTTGAATAAGCCCCCTCAAAAAAACCCCCAGTCCAAAATAGATTTGCGAAATAAGCCCCTGGTGGCTTATACGAGGATATTATTAAAATATGACAACCTTGATAGCCAACCTTTTCCAATTTTGTGCCTCTCCCCCTCTAACTTCAAAGTTCTAGATGCAGACCGCTTGTTCCTCGTTTAGAATCAGTGAGATGCAGACACTGAAGTTACTGTTCGCTCGGGTTGAAATCGAAGTGCATTTTCAATCGAGAGGGCTACGTAACAGGTATCTACATTCGTTAGGACATTATTCGTCTTTATAAATTTACCAAAAGCTGTTAATAACTTGGAGTGAAACAAGTTACAAAGCTACATGTTCCTGAAAACGGACTATGAAACTAAGCACTAAAATGGAGTACTCAAACTGAAAGCTCAAATAAAGAAAATATCGACCAAATTGCTATGAGGCTTACAGAACACCAAAACATAACACATGACTTAATGACTATACCTCTTATTAAAGTGAACATCGACCGCTCGAAAGCTTCTCGTAAAAGTTGCACGTGAAGTAGACAACGAATAAGCACTATAGGCCAAGTGTGATGAAAGATTTTATGCACGAAGAAGTTCGTGATAAACAAACACATCGATCGAAGAGATGAACATGAACTGAACTCGACCGTAATCTTTCGTTAGAAAATCTCTTTGTCACCGGCATTGTGAAGGGAAACGCGCTGATGTCAGATTAATCTGCGATATAATAATACTGATGAGCTCTACAATTCATAAGCAAACAACTTTTGTTCTTTGCATGAAAAGCCTATGGTAGACGGCCAACGGAAGGGAACGGTATCGTCTTTATGATAGGAAAATAGAATTGTACTTACATTTAAAGATTTTATATACAAAAATCTATAACTGGCATTAATTACAACGCTAAACTTAATTAAACGCCTGCTTATGCCAGTTTCTCCAGTCTATCACAGCAAACGTCGACATCAATTTTTCTAACTTTCTTTAGTAACAACTTTGGAAACAATATTGGCGGCCTCGATATATTCTGATCCGCAGCTTGATATGAAAATATCTATTTCACTTTCAACAATTATTCTGGCGTGTCATATTCAGAAGAGGGTGTGAAACGGAAAGCTGGGCGTTTCGCAGTGTGGGTTTAGTATTTCAATTGTATTTCTTGAGTTCCGCTCGTATTTAGTTTTGCGTAGGCTTTCAATTCCTGAAACAAGAATCAGATTCACTAAAAGAAAGTGCAACCTCTCGAACTCAATTTTTCCTTTTCTTGTTCGGTGTTTCTTTAGTGACAGCTGGCTCGCTTTTATTAATTGGATCTTGAATGCAATTATAAAAAAAGTAAAACCAATCTAAAATCTTCTTAGTTCAATCACTTTAAAAACAGGTGAGGCTGAGGGTCAATATTTTATACCATACACATGAACAAATTGACAATTTTAAGAGTGAGAAAATCAAACCAAAAAGCTATTCTATTCTCAAGTAGTGTAGTGAGGGGGATCCAAGAGGGGGCGGATGTCTCTCTCCAATCTCTTTGATTGCAAAGAATCTCTTTGAAAAGGGGCGTTTTCTGGTGATATCCTCCTCGCTCAACTCACATTTCCCCAAAATTACTACCCTGGCTATGCTAATGAATTCTACTACAGATCAACCGCGACCATTTCATTCCTTACTGAATAAATTAGTTACAATTAGAATTTTTTACGAAATTTTTGCTTCTATAGAACAATTTTAACGCCATTTTTCATCTCATTGGCTCGCAAAACAACTTCAAACGTTTAGGCTTATATTGAAACGGTCTATTATTTGCTAGTCACTGCGAAAACAAAAATAACGTCAACAACAATTGAAGATAACAAGAACATGCGTAAGATAAACAAATTTACTCAGCCAACAGCCTTGTGAAGCTAACTTCTTTTAAAAGGTACCGACATAGTAAGAGCCAATGTTTCTTAGGTCAAGATGTTTATCACACCATCATAACCAGAAACAAGCGACAACACCCCCATATATACTTCGTTCATAAAACTTCACATCCGAATCGCGCGCTACTGCATCTTTTCATAAGCACAGTCAGTTAGCCAAAATCTAAATCACCATTCTAAGCTCACTTTATATGAACCAGAAATTTTTTGC